TATTCTGGTACCGTTCTATTGTTTGTATTATTTTAGTCTGTGTTATCTTCGTTAGTTGTGGTGGTTTTGGTCTTGTTCTTTTCTTTTTATTTATTGTTAACAATTTTTTGTTTATTTGAGTGCCTGGGGTTGTTTTCCCTTTCTTATCGTTTGAATTTCGCGCACCGAGTTTCTCGGTCAGCGTGCCTTTTATCTTGCTCTTTCGGTGCCATGTTGGGCCCGTGTTTACGTTTCTCACAACGTAACCTATAGATGTCAGATTGATGTGTATTTTTGTCTGTTCTTCGTTTTTATGAATTCTTTTTATGTTAGTTGTATGTTAACTTTTTAGTTTTCTTGTCTTAAACAGTGCATGGGTTAATTGTGGTTTTTACGGGTTTTTGCTTTTGGAGTGGTTGAGTCGATGGTTTAAATATATTCTGATCCAGGTGATCAATTTGCAATACCATTATTACTCGAGAGGTTGTTTGTTAATGTGTTTCGATCATCTTCTTGTTTTTGTAAGTCGTTTGTTGTTTTTATTCATATATTTAATTTCTTTTTAATTGTGTTTTTAGACGGTGTGTGGAGGTATCGATTATCTATGATTTCCAAAGGGTTTGTGTCTGTTTATTATTCGGGGCGTGGGTCAGAGTGAATTTTCTTTTCAAAATATTTTTCTTGTGAGCCGAATTTGAGGGTATCTGTTTGGTTGTTGTGTACAACGTGAGTATGTTTGTTGTTGGATGTAGCAATTTTGTTTTCTTAGTATATCAAATTTCTTTCTTCTTTTTTTTTTTTATATATAGTTTTATTTTTCTAATGTTCTAATTTTTCAGATCTGCAGAGGACGGATAGCTGTTCGGCTGGGATTGCGGTGTGTGGATTTCTTCGATTTGAAATTTTATACGTATTTAATTTGGTGAGGACAACGATAGGAGTTTGTTTTCAGGGAAGATAGCGACCGTCTTTAATCGTCTTCAGATTTTTGTCAACAGGTTTATTTCTTACAATATATACGTATATTTTACATGATGTTCTTATAACTAGGTCGATATTAATATTAATAATAATACTTTTGTTTATTTTTATACATATGTTCTCGCTTTTGTAGTTGTGTTTCGTTATCTTGGTGATTTGTTCCTCTTCTGTTATGGATTATGTTTTCCTTTGTCCGGTCTTTTGTTTTCCTTGCTTAGCGTACGTATCGTGTCTCTCAGGTTCTTCCTTCGTTTGTGGGTTATCCTTTATACTACATTGGCTCCGTTGTTGGTGGTATTTCCATTACGGTGATTGTATTTCCTATGGTTCCTGTATTTTTAAAACATAGAAAAGAAATTTTTCAGATTAATGATCGGGTTTTGTCTCTTTTTATTTTCAGGTTCAATTAGACGTTGTTCCCGGTTATCGACATTGTCCCGGTCAGGAGACCGGGACGATTCCTTTGTTTTAGAGTGTTTAATTTTTTATCTCCGTATACTACTTGTAATTTGGGCAATGGGATTTTAAGAGTTGAATAAACGATTGTTTGTTACCAGATTGTTAGTGGTTTTTGTAACTGACCTGTCATGTTTTATTTTCCCTTGTGCTCCATTGTTTCCAATTTTATTTCCTTCCTTTCTGTTGTAAAGCTTTAACGTAGATGATATGTTTTCCGTCGGTTCCTCTAGCGGGAGTGAGATTCTTAGCAGTGCTTCCTCGAAGTCTGCTTCGTTATCCTTGTTTGTTGTGGTGTTTTCCCACGTGTTCTGTTTATTCGTTGTTTCTTCTTTCTCGTGAGCCGGGTTATTTGTTAATGCCGCGTTCGGTTTTGTCGGCGCCAGGGTGCCCTTGTTTATCGTTAGATCACCATCCATGGTTCTTGTTATCTCATTGGGGACAGTAATTTCCATTTCCTGATAGTAGTTAAGGTTTGTTGGTAGGATGTACTCATCTCCGGCATTGTCAAAACAGTTGTTATCCTCCCTTTGTGGGATTGTCTCTTTGATGATCGGTGAATCATTTGAATTGACTGTTGTTCCCACCTT